CATGATCTTCTTACAATAATCAAACAAATATTTTTTAACATTTTAACAATTAGCATTGATTTAAGAGGATAGTTTATCATACAGTTGAGCAGTAGAACCCAAATCATGAAGATTGTGTCCCTGTCCAAATAATTATGGGTCTAACTGTAGCTAACAGTGTTTAAACTCCCTGTGGGATGACTAATGACTATAGTAATAAAATAAAAACAAATCATACCATACATAATATGCATCATATACTGCATTTCCTTTAGTGGCAACATCATAATAGCTAGGCAGTGGAAGGGCTGCTGAATAAATCAGTTATTATAGGGTGGAGGTGGAGGTGACTTTGTGGTGGGGTTAAAGGGAAGTGTGGTGCTGCATGTCTGCTTTATCCATTAACTAAAAGTAGCAGCAGGAAGTGAACCCTGTGTTCTGTTCCTCTGCACTGATTTGGACTAGGTGAAGATCTTGAGACGGGTGAGACAGGAACAGGACAGGTTAGTTTAGAATTGGTCTGTTTTACAGCTCATTAATGCAGGATTGAGGTGTTTGAGATTCACGGTTTCTTACAGTCAGAGACTGTAAAAAAGCCCAATCCTGAAACCCGAGAGACGGCCTACTCATTTAAATAACCCCGCCCCTGAGGACTGCCTCCATAGAGCTCACACAGTCTATGGTCCAGCCCATACAGCCATTGGTCCTGCCCCGGCTAGGTGTAACCCAGCCCTTTCACAACAACCACAATAATATATAAATTAATATAAAATATTTAATTATAGTATTAATTTCTATTATATTATATTTAATGCAAATAACAAGAAACAGAAAATGTAACAAAAAAAAGAGCGAGGAAGTTTCTTTATCATTTTGTCATTTTTTGACAGAAGTTGGAATTAAACTCAGTCAAAGATAGTCTCTGTGTAACTTTAAAGGAGAAATCAGGTGTGAAATGGACTTTTTGTTGTAGTGAAACATTTTAGCCAGCACAAACTTTTAGTGATAGGGGCATAGAGTTACCTATCCAAAAAAATCCAGATTTTTACACTATTAACAAACTCAGAGTAGCTCCACAGTCTTCATTGGTAGAATACTGGGGGCCCTGTTATTTTGAACGAGGCACTGAGAGCTTTAAAAGTGTATAGATACTTTATTAAAAACACTGCTAATACACACAGTACCTTCAGATAGTTCTCTAGATGTTGCAATCCTAAAATTTAGTCACAAGCAAGAAACATGTCGATTGATAAGCAAGAATGAATAGGTAGGATAAGATAAAAATTCATTCAGTGGAAATGCATGAATTCCAGCTGTTGCTAAAAATATCTCTATAATCTCCATGCATTTTAATGGAATTCAGCTCTAGCATTGTAAGCCTGTTGGGAGCATTGGATCAAAGTGTTGTATTTCAGAATGCTGGGGGAGAATGAAGGTGGTATATTCAATAAAAGTTTATACTTATGTATGTTTCACTACAACCCAAGTCCATTTCACACCAGATTTCTACTAAGTTTGCAATGTTTCTTCTTTTTTTTTAAGACTTTTTTTTAGACTCGCTTGATTTGCAAATCAGGAATAAGGCATGTCTTCAGCTGTAGTTTGTGTTAGCTGATATAAATGTTCTAATGCTTAAAACATCACAAACACTCCTAAACAATGAAAGCATCAGTGTTTCAGCTGGCAGTTTATACAGTCCTGACTGTTATTAATGGCGGTTCAGGTGAACTGTGGAGGTGAAACGATCTAGAAGATCATGTAAACTTTCATAGAGAATATTAGTATTGTTATGTCTTCATTAAGATAACATGTATAAAAACAGCGTGCAAAGTCTCTGTTCAGTAAAGTCACTCACACACACACAGAGGTGCATTCGAACTCTTGTTTCTTTTACTGGGTAACTCACATGAACTAACACATTGCTAATGCCACCTACAGGATGACTGATGTAACAACAGCTATAAGTTTAACAACTACATAACAAGTATGCTGGTGAAATTATTATTAAAGACTTTCATAAATACTTTGTGTTTTTTTGGTCCTCTTGTTTTTTCCTCCCTTTTTCTTTTCGCATTCCCTCCCATGCTCTCTTTCTCTGGGACTGTATGAATGTCTTTCTCTCCGTCCTCTTGTTTCTCTCCCCTTTCTCTCTCTCTTCTATTCTGTCTTCCTCTGTCTCTCTGTATGTCTGCCTTTCTCTCTCCTTCTCAGTCTGTCTTTCTCTCTGTCCCCTTGTTTCTCTCCCTCTTTCTCTGCCTCTTCCATTGTTTCGACTTCTTTCATTCTGTCTTCCTCCCTGTCTCCTTTCTCTCTCTCTCTCTCTCTCTTTCTGTATCTCTCTCTCTCTCTGCAGGTATCAGTGTTTATCTCAGCTGGACAGTGTTTACTGTGCCTGTAACTGGTTGAGGTGTATCCTGTTTGGTGGTTGCCGTGGTAACTGGGAGGGAAACAGTAACTTCAGGGCTATTGTTTCAGTGGTTCTGTGTTTCTGCAGCGTCTGTGAGACGAGTCTCTGTCTCACTGTGACTCGAAGCTCCACCTTCTCCTCATGGTTAGTAAGAGTTTGATATCGCTCACACTGAGGTCAGTGAGGCTGCTTCATTACTGGAACTCTCCAGAAATTAAAGGATCTTTCATAAAGATGATGTCAGGGTGGACCACCTCAGAAGGGGGGGCACCATTTACACATGTGGACAAAATTGTTGGTACAACCCTTGGTTAATGAACCCACAGAGAAATAACTTGATCAGCTCTATATTCAGTTCAGTCACTTAGTTTAAAAGCATTTGTCTGTTTATTTATAAATATAATACTCACTGTTAGCTCTTTTTAAAAAACAAAACTCCTAACGTTCAGCCCACAGTGTACTCTGTTCCAGTTCTGTTCTGGAGAGTCTATTTGGACAGAGCTCAAAGGTTCCCTGCTTCACTTTACACTTCAACACTTCTCAGTCTCGGTGGGCTGTGTATTGGTTTGATCTGAGCATAATAAAATTAGTCATACACTCGGCTACGGCTCATGTGTAAATACAGAGATATGAATTAGGAATTGACGATGGATTTTTAAGGGTGTGAGAGCAGGAATAGAGATGCTGTTGATACAGGGATGATAATGGTCTAGCTGCTGGATTGATGATGCTCGGGGTAACAGAGGGATATGGGCTCATTTGGCATTACAGTTCTGTGACTTCATATCACTGCATTTGGGACTGAATAGTTCCAGCATTAAAGCAATACAAAGATCACACACACAGCCTTCTAAATTTAGAGACCATAAATGATCCAGATCAGCAATCAGCTAAGGAATCATTACAGTTCATATTTATGCGCTCACTCCATGGATTTTATTTAAGAAAACCTACAGCAGTGCATCTATTAGTGCAGTTCAGTCATTTTCATTACCAGGCTCTAAATTTAGATCTTCAGAGGAGTTCAGGTAGATGTGCACTGCAAATAAAGAATGTGTTGTTTTTATGTCTGTAACAAGATTCACATACCAGTGTTTAATTTAGAATACACAGGAAATGTGAACACCTCTAGCCGAGTGCTGACTGGCTCCTGGGTATGATTTTGGCTAATTGTGCTAAAATTATGTCATATATTATAACATTATGTAACAAAGAGCAAAGTATTCTGTTTAAAACAGTGATTCCCAGTCCATGTCAGGGAGAAAAAAAGACAGTACAAAATACAGTATATATGCAGAGGTGGAAAGTAACTAATTACATTAACTCACATTACTGTAATTGAGTATATTTTATGTGTAATTTGTAATTTTTAAAGTAGTTTTTTACTCAAGTACATTTTGACACAAGTACTGCACTGTGCATGCTGCGACCAACAGTTTTTTGTAAGATTTCATGTTTTAATTATAATTATAAAACTCCTGAAAAAATATATATGAATGTATAGGTGACCCTCAGAATGAATGGCAGCGATGCCCATGGTCGAATTTTTTATTTTCTTTTTAACTGGTTTGGCAGACCCAGTTGACACAGTCTCATCCTCCATTCACCACTCATTTTAATGGTTGTATTGTTTATCTAATAACTCTATTGCAGTTATTATGCGCTGACTACCCAGTGATGCTGCATCAGCAGCAATTCAAAAAGAGGCGGAGTCCTGATTTCACATGTATCAGAGGAGGCATGTTCTAGTCTTCACCCTCCTGGTGTTAGGGACAGTAATAGTAATGAAGGAGATCTAATAAATGGGTGGGGTAATTTGCCTCTCACAGTGTCTTAAGCCAATAGTAGCAAAGTTAACATGTTATTATTTCAACTAAATAATTTTCAGTCAGTTTGACTAAAAATAAAAAAATAATAGATAACTGAATGTTATAACCAGGCTTTAAATTCATATCTTAAGAGGAGTTCAGGTAGTTGTGCTCACCAAATAAAGAATGTGTTGCTTTTATATCTGTAACAAGATTCACATACCAGTGTTTAATTTAGAATACGCAGGAAATGTGATTATACAACACCGCTAGCCCAACTCTAACAACACTGCATATTTCCACAGGGTCACTACTAGAGGTTAGCATTATGCTAGCAGCTATTCAGATAAAGAAATGCTGCTAAAGAAAGACATTCTGCATTAAAAACTACTCTGTACATCTGTTATAAAAATGTCACGACTGTATCCAGCTTTTAATTAGAAATAAAATGAAATTGAAAATTGATTAAATCAGTATATATAAACTGAACCCAGAAATCCCAGTGTTTTTTAATTGGGTGAGGTGAGGCCCATCTGACTGCTCTCCTCTTTAAGCCTTTTACATTTTTTCACATTGTAACTATAAACCTAAATGTATTTTATTTTATGTGATAGACCAACACAAAGTAGTGCCTGTAAAGTGGAACAAAAATTATACATGGTTTTAAAAAATTTAAATCAAATAATAAGTGTGACATGCAAAAGTGAGGTGGGACCCTTTACTCTGTAAGTTACTCTCAGTATAAATACACCTATTCTGTGAAAGCATCAGTGGATTGTTAGTGACACTAGTGAACAAACAGCATCATGAAGACCAAGGAACTCACCAGTACAATCCATCATCCAAAAATGGAAAATGTATTCTACACCTGCAAACTTACCAAGACATGGCCATTGTCCACCCAAACTGACAGATCAAGCAAGGAGAGCACTGCTCAGAGAAGAAGCCAAGAGGCCCTTGGTCACTCTGGAGGAGCTGCAGAGATCCACAGCTCAGGTGGGAAATCTGTCCACAGGACAACTATAAGATGTGCAGTCCACAAATCTGACCTTTATGGAAGAGTGACAAAAAGAAAACCATTGTTAAAAAAAACGAACTGGTAGAGACATCCCTCAAAAGAATTGCAGATATAATTGCAGCAAAAGTTGGCTCTACTAAGTATTGATAAAAGGGCTGAATACTTTTGCACGTCATAGATTCTTATGTGATTAAAATTTTCTCCATATCCATCAAAGTGCTACTCTTGTGGTGTTATCATGTGGTTTCTTGAGTATGTGCCCATTTCCACCGCCTACAAAGCAGTAACATTTCCATGTCTATGCACCCTGTTTTCTGAGGCCAGAATATTTTTTGAAATTTTCCCAGACTGCTGTAATGAAAGCTGCAAAGCTTGCCTATGTCCTTGCCAATTTCACTTGTGGCTCTACTAAGTATTGATGAAGGGAGGGCTGAATACTTTTGCACGTCACATTTTTCAGATTTTTATGTTTTTTTTTTCAGTAAAATACATTTATGTTTGTGGTTGTAAGGTGAAAAATTGTGAAAACATTTTCAACCATGGCAGCACTGGGGATGGTGTTTGCCCACCCTGCCACCCCCCTGGGTCTGCCAGTGCTACACAATACTGCTTTCCAGTGATGGATGAGGCAGAGGGGGACTAATACACTAGGCAGCAGAAGGAGATGGGATACAGTAAAACATATGAACAGATAACTCTACACCTTTAAAGTGAACCTACAGCATAACTTAAGATAAATAGTGTAGATTCTAGTTGAGACAGTTGGACGGGACTGAGACAATGGGACAGAGACTCTTCAGGCCTTATCACTGTCCAGCTCTGATCAGCTGTGCAAATTCACTGCAAGAGAGGAGTAACTTATTGCATTAGGCAAATTAGGCCGTGACATCACAGCATAGGAGAGCAATAAAAAGCTCTGGGAATGACATCGTGGAGCAGGAGAGGAACAGTGTGAGGAGCTTCAGCCGTCCGTCCAACAAAGAGTGGCCTTGTCCCGGTGGACGGAGCAGCTCGGACACGGAAATCCACCGCGATCACCGGTGAGTTCCACACACATTCACACACACTCACACTCTTACACGACTTGAGGGATCTGTTCACACACTAGGCCATGATTTATAGTTTAGCTTAAACTAGCGTCAACTTTTACAGTAGGAAGGATTCTTGTGTGCTGTGCGTCTCGGGGAACAGACAGATGAGCACAAGGCGATCAAGTGATTTGCCTTAAGCCCGGCTGTAAAGACGACAAGACAATAAGGTGGTTGTGATGCGCAGGATGGGACGGGGTCTCGGTGAAGCCTGCAGCCTGATCTGGGATTCCTTTTTGCTTTAATGTTACGAGAAATGAAATTACATGGAATAGTACTCTGCGTTGATACCACTGCTT